ATATTACCTCAGGCATATAGCTCAAATATTAAGCAAACTTTGTAATATCACAAGTTCAGTTTTTTTTTCATGATTGACAGTGTTTGTTGCTTCAGAATATATGATTTGTACAACTCACAAAAATGTGATATGTAACAAGCAATACAGCAGCCCTGATCAGAATAATGGTCAATAGCAAAATGGATGGTCAACTGATGAACTGATAATCTTCCCATGATCCAACAGCATGCAACTGTTGTTCCGCTGACTCCTCCATTGAAATAGACCTCTATAATATTGAGATAATTTTAGTTTTGTCGACCGAGTTGATAATGAAAATTGGCGACCATTAAGAGTTCAAAGCTGACATTTCAAGCATTAGCCCTTCACCAGAGCAAATGCAGGAATTATGGGTTTTGTGTGTGTTTATATGTGGAAAATAGAGCTACACTGTTGGTGGGAACATAGCCACAAGAAAAATAGGACAAAATTATTTGAATGAAAAGGATTTGTTGATACTGTAGGGATTAAGAGTGTTTCTTTTTCTAAAATAAATGGCTACCCTGTTACTGTCCTTCAAGCAGGCCACTACCCCGCCCAACAAATAGACATAGACAGATAGAGTGCTTTATAACAAGTCACTTAATGACTGTTTCTTGGGAAACAGTCTATGTAATTTTCCTTGGGACCAGTAGTTTTCATTTTAATCTTCTCACATTATTCACATAAATGTCATTTCTTGTGCATGCAAATTACCAACTTTTTGCCTCACTGCAGACCACATCATCACTTAGCACCTGTGGTTCTAAAACAATCTATGGATACTAGTGACAGTGTGGCCCCAGGCGAGGCACAGTCTGCAAAGGAGGCAAGGTTAGCAAATTGGCTTCCAACGGTCGTGTGTGGTGGTGAATGTGGCTTAGCATCGGTTTTACAGGGAAGATTTAGTTTTTAGTGAATTGAAGTGAAACTGCAGCATATGCACTTGGATTCTGCGATGGATTTGTGGCCGCCTGGTCATTTTGAGCTTGACTATTTTGCTTCTCGGATCGGGCATTCGGAAATGGAGTGTACAGCTTTGGTTTTCTATTATGTAGTTAATCTTGAGATGGATAACTTGCTAAAATGGGTACTTTTCGACATAGTAAGCAGTCAGATAACAAGCGACGCATTTTTATTGAGAATTTGACTGTAATTTTCTTTTCCTAAGAGCGGTCGTAAATATTCCTAGACAAAGTCTTTTAGTTTCGGCATGACTCTTATTCCGCAAGATGATCATCTTACAGCTGGAGTGTGGGCGCCTGTGCACCAGCCAGCCGATGATATACTATCAACCCAATATTTTTTAGTGTTTCCAAATAGTCATCTAAACTGCTCTTTTCCATAGAATTCTTCGACGTGGAAATTTTTCACGAGGCATATAAAGTGCTAGGGCATAAATGTGAAATCCTCTAAAAAATTCAGAAGTCGCCGCAAAAATGCTGCAATTTGATCTCTCTCCGAAGTTGCCTTGGGGAGGTATTTAAGCCCCTGATTTTGACGAACCACATGCACCATAAGACTATATGGCCATTTCTACATATTTTGGTTGGCATAAGATCTAATAAACTTGAAAAAAATTAAAAGTTACTTCATGAATTTAATCGAACCTACCTCATGAGAATGCTCGTTTGTTTGTGCCGCCATTTTGTTTTCATAAGGACACGTGGTTAGTTTGCTCGCCTCAGATTTCCTCGGTCGAGTAATTCAAGATGGCGGCAGCATTTCCGAGCGTAATTACAGTCCAAGCACCTATAACATCCATACCCCTACAACGTATTTCTTTATTCCTTTGTACTTTGCCACTTTTCTCGTTTGTATCTTGCGTGTTGATCGCTCTGGTTTGGCATTTCGATGATACTACAAAGACTCATTGCCAGGTGAGAATGCTTTGTACCCATGTATTAGGCGCGCATATAAAATCACGTTGTGTGCAGATGTCCGGCACCCGGACAGGTTCTTGAAATTACTCCGTGTCCTGCAATCGGACAGGTTCTAGAAATTACTTCGTGTTCGGCAGTCGTAAATATTTTTTGTATTAATTCACACTATCAGGTACGTTCTTAGATGGCTGGACACGTCACGATATCCACCGAACTGCGAGTTTTGCCTTAGCTCGGCGCCCAGTGTTCATTTAGATAGCTGGACACGTTACCCTCTCACTCCCAAGGTCTCATAGATAATTCTGCTTACCATCTCCTCTACAATTCTTTGTCATGTTTTAAGGAAGAATTTGGGTTTGAATCAACTAATAATCCCCTAATTGATATTTTTAATCGTTATTCTCCTCACTTATCAGCTTGATAATGTACTGATGTTGTAAGGAGAAATTCTGTCTTGGTCACTCATGGGAGTAAAAGGGTTAAAACGAAATCTATGACTTAGAGGCTTGTTATGAGCTTCTGAACACAGAATCCATAAATACTCCCTGTCCAATGGTCAAAAGTTTTCCTCAAATGTAAGTTTTACTGTGCAATTAGGTTTGAATTATACCACACTAGGCAAAGCTGTTGTTGTTTTTGTCTAACCCTAATTGCCCAGCCAGTAATAAGTAAACACAGAGCGTTGAGCTTATGTAAAACATCCTTTGGTGGAAATTGTGACAGCACAGTCCAACTATCTAAAAACATAATTTATCTGATGGTGTGAATTGAAATTAATGAATATTTTCAACTGCCAGATACAGAGTAATTTTAAAAACCTGTTTGGCTGGTCAAAGTTGAAGTTTCAAATTGGTCAGTATATGATGCTGGTAAACTGTTGTAGAGTGTTGTCTAATTTGCTTAACTCAATATGTTATCCACTGAAGTGGTTGATTTTAAGTTGTGTGAAAAAAAGTTATAACAAGCATTTTTCAATCTAGAAATTGAAGCAAAAGTCCCAGAGTTTATCAATAATAGTTGTTAAAAAATTGGGAAGCATCACTCATTTCTGAGTGATGTGCTTCTAAATTACAAGCATAGAAAATTGGTACAGAGACAGTCTTGCATCATAATTGTGATCAAGCTAGCCTACCTAGTACAAGTAATTTTAACATCAGCAGACTTGTCCTGCTAGTTAAGTTCCATATTGTTAGTATTAAAATACAGTGATATCATAGTTAGTTTTTAGGTACCTTATTTATCACTTGGTAATAAGTTAATATCAGTTGCTCTACTGTTCAACTTGCTAGTGCATATACATTATTTTTTTGGTTATAAGGCGCAGCATTTTTCAAAGAAAATGTGCCTGTTCAATTGAAATCCGGTCTAAACTCGGGGTGCATCTTATAGCCAAGTATGGTTGCACCAAAGAATATAAAATTTGGAGACCTGCATTCTCAGCAGCACCTGGATTCAAAGCTGACGAATGCCTTTGAAGATCACCTTTGGTGGAAGTTTCTCGTCACTCGCCTTCACTGCTAGGAAAACAGTGAAACTCTGCTTATCACCACCACAGGATAAAATTAGCTCCTCCAAATCGCTCTGATGAAGGGAAAACGCTCAAAATGTCAGCTTTTTTATACTTTACAGTGGCTAATTTATGTTTTCAACTCAGCTGTTAACACTAAATTACCTGCTAAAAGCGGCACTGTTTGGTTTCCAGTGAACTCCAATGCCCTTGTGGCTGGCAACTCGAACCTCACCAGAGTTTTGTACATGTTAAGGACGTGGCTGGACTTGTAGCCACAATGCTGTCAGGATCTCAGCAAGATTTAAGCAATGGAATTCAATCACCTTCTCTTCCATATCAGCTGGTAGATGCTGTGCCAAAGTGGTCTTTGCTCTCAAGGAAATGGCATGGTGACATTTCCAGTTTGTGTACCAGCCAAGGGACGCTTTTAACTCTGGATTGGAGCTGAGTTCCTCTGCTTTCAGGCAGAGCCTCAAGATGTGTACTGATAGACCTGCAAATATCAAAGGAAATATGCAGTCAGCAAGTGGACAACATAATCAACATTTTAACAAAAATTTACACAAAACAGTGCATTTATCAATGACAATGCATAGATGTTGAATGAACAATATTCACCTTGGCTTCTTTGATTGCTGAACCAGTGCGCCTTGAACTGCTGATCAAGCTTTGGATCTTTTGGCCGGTAGTGACCCATCGAGGCACATTTCACTGTCATCTTTAACTTGTCTGTAAACAAGACGTATTGCTAGTTTCTCCATTTACAGACCATCAATTACAATATGCCGTATTTGCAAGCAATTTCACAATTGTTGTTC